TTTATTTATTTATAATCAAGCTACATAAGCCCATAGATAAATACCTTATAGTCTAACATATATACCGATATAAAACATTGTTGTTAGTAAATAAAATTATTAACTATGTTAGTAAACACCTAATTAATACGTATAGATGGCGACGTGTGACGCGAAGTGGTATCAGGTAACCGGTCTCGAATAAAATGCATTGCTTACGTGACGTAAGAGGAAGGTACAGAATGCCTCTTAAATATAAGAGGGCCACATGCTTGTTCAAAATATTCAAAAGAGCCAATACAATGATAGTGGTAATGTGCTCAATATACAAAAAAATAATTAGTATGATAATATTTGTTATTTTACCATATGATACCAATAGAATCAATAGAATCGTTAGCCACCAAAACTTGTTACGACAGAATTCACTAGGTCGCATTTTTTTTTATTAGGTATTATCTAATACTAGCTTAAAAGTAATAATAAGCTGCCAGTATCTTCGGAACCTTGTCTAAAGGGACTCCTTTTAATAATGTATTTTAGTAATTATATTTTATTTTTTAAGGTTTTTAGTTTTAGGTTCATTGTTATTGTATATTTTTTGTTTTTTTTTTTGTTTTAAGCTAGTATTAGATAACACCTAATAAAAATTTTTGCAAATAAATTGTTCCTCAATTGTTTAACTTTGAATAATTTGGAAACTTACCACGCTGTCTTCCTTCCCCGTTTACGTCCGCTCGTTGAGTGCTCGATACAATGACTAAAGACAATGTAAATTGAAGAGTTAATTATGAATCAGTTAACTCACCTTATTACAATTTCATATAAAATTTTTGTTTGTGGATATTTTAGTAGTTAGTATAACTAAGGTAAGAGGTTACACCTTTCGTTATGGAAATGAGAATCAACGAAGATGCCACACACAGCCACCTTGATTTAGGGAAGTACAAAACTTATACTTCACTAAGTCTAGACAGGAAGGAACTATTTAATGTATATTTACTTTTATTTGTGACCATCTTATAATAAATTCTGTACTATATCATGTATTGTACTTTGTATTTATTGAGGTAGATATTCTACAAATATATTCTTTATGTAGGTCTAGTTCCCTCACTTGCTCCATCGAGCTTGTATTTAGAGCGATGGGTCGCCATACGGACTTTCTCAATGGTTGGTCATAGGACGTGTAACCAAAAATTTATTAAAGTGAAACTACATCATTTCAATTTTTATCGTTCATCTTTAGCATTACATTTTTAATTGTTATTAAAATATCAACCAGCATCGGTGGTTCAGTGGTAGAAAGCTCGCCTGCTACGCGAGCGGCCTGGGTTCGATTTCCAACCGAGAAATAACTTTATTTTTATAGATATGTTTTAATTTTTTAAGCATTTAACTGATATATGTTTAAATCTTAAGAAAAGTTAACTAGAAAAAAATCCACACGGGCCAGGCAGCAGACGGGACTCGAACCTGCACCCCTCGCTATCCGGGCGAATGCACTGACCATTATGCTAGCGCAGCCTAGGATTTATACTGGATAAAGAGGATGTAAAGTAAAAATAAAAATATAAAAAACCATACATATTCTGTTCTTCTCGCGTATCCGGAGCGAACACTACTAACGATCGCACCAACCGTTACTGGTTTGCCTGCTTCCGTTCTGGAAATTTTGACCTAAAAAAAGAACCCCGTGGTCGACCGATACCTTTAGCGGACAATGACGAATTAAAGGCGATCGTGGAAGCTGATGGTTCTCAACCTTCAGCTGAATTAGCAGCATTGAATGATCGCCAGCGCAAAGTACGCGTCGTCTTGAGCCTTGCACTGGTCATCAGGCATACAAACGAAGGCATTAAGAAATCGCAGTTTTACTTGCGACGGAAAATGCATTCTATTCGACAATCGCAAGCGCTCAGCAAGTTGTTGTAGTGCTTCAGCACCTAAACAATGCCGAAAACGAAAAATTGATGGTCACTGTTTGGTGGTCTAGCGCCGGTGTCATTCATCACAGCTTCTTACCAAGTATCATTCATCACAGCTGCGCCCCGCGGTTTTACCCGCGAAGTTCCCGTTCCCTAGGGAATTCCGGGATAAAAAGATATTCAACCTATATAGGTTGAATATCTTTTTAGGCATATGCCTAAAAGAAACTCTTTGCTAAACAGAAAAATCAGAATGGCCATGCCCCTGAGCAAGTAGATTTCAGATATCTGTCTGTCTATCTAACCATTGTCTGTTATGAATTCCAAAATTCCTATTTTAGTGTGACTAAAATTATTTCTGGACAATATAAAGAACTGTTTAAATCCCATTAATCTAGGTCCAGCGGTTTTGGCTTTGCGTTATGAGCCAACCAGCCAATCAATCAATATATCCATTTCCCTCTTTACATAACAGAAGAAGTTTATGGAATTAACAGAACAAAAGTTGTACAATTTCCAAAATTAAAGATTTCGTTTTGAAAATCATTTAAGTCGTATAAAAATTAGGATTTCACACCCGTAATCTCATTCCCGTAGAATTGATGAGAAATATATTGTTTTATTGATATCCTTTACAATAAAACTTTCTATTAGTGAAAGAGTTTTTAAAATTGGTCAAGATGAGTCAGTCAATGTATCCTTTTCGTTAAACTTAACTAAGGAGTGACTTTGGATGTTGAAGTGTGACACTGCATGTCCTCAGCATACTTTTCATAAGATGGTACTTAACCAGTGAGTGCTAATCGCAAGCATGATGACATATGATCATCAGTTAGTCGATAGCGATATTTTGACTTAATTATCTTCATTTTAGAAAATGTAGACTCGCACAAGTAAGTTGACCCAAACATTGCCGTCAGTTGAAGAGCGATTTACCTTAGATTCGGATATTTATCTTCAGATATAAAACACCAGAAATTAGTATCAGATGCTGTAACTTTGAGATGTATATCTGATATAATCTACACCAACACTTTTGCAACAGAACATGAGTTCATATTAAACTGACTTGCTATTCCAGTAGCTAATTCCTCAATGTTTTTACATGAAAAAGGATAACTCATAAAAGATGATATATTTGACAATTAACTGCAATCATAAAAACGCATTTAGAATTAACCCAAATTATTTGATTATTCAGCCTCATATGTTAATAATAATAATTATTTAATTCCTCATAATTCAACTGAGGAATCCTTGCTTTCAAAGACGGAAAATGTTTCAGATCGTTTCTTTTCAGTTGATCTATCATAAGTTGCAATTTACTTTTGAATGCGTTTACTGCGCTAATCATCTCAATAATAGTTTTTCCATTACCTTGAAGCTCCAAGTTAATGGTGTTTTTATGTGCATTGTGATGTCAGTCAAAAATGCCAAATCAGTCAGCCATTTTTCGTTTTTCAACATCTGAGTGTCATCATCTGTTTCGTCTAGAAAAGCTGTTATTTCCGGCAATAATTCTTGAAACCTTTCTAGGAATTTTCCGCGACTCATCCACTTGACATCCGTGTGAAGAACTAAATCAGTGTGTTCAGCTGACTCCCTATCTTCCAATTGCAACTTAAAGAGCCGCCGTTGCAAGCTACGTGCACGGATGGAATTTACAATTTTTGTTGCAATGTCTATATTTAATTTCCTCCGTGGTTAAAACTTTTGAACACAAAACTTGTTGATGTATAATGCAATGGAATGAAATGGAGTTTATCTGCCATGTCCTGACTCATGACTTCAATACGCCTTGTGACAGTCGGACGAGATAACTGAAGTTCTCTAATAGCAGAAACGATTTCTGTTTTATTTTGAAAATCTCCAAATAAAGTCTCACCCGCTTCAATAAATGCTTCCTTCACAACCGATCCATCTTCGAATGGTTTCTTATGTTTTGCCAATATATGAGATATTTTAAATGACGCGATCGTAGCATCTTTCGATTGTTTGGCTGGTCTTGTGAACATGGTTTGTTCTTTTTTCAAACAAGATTTCAAATCACGCACTGAACACAGAAAGAGGTCCCCCCCCTCTCTCTCTCTCACCTCTTTCTGTGTTCTGTGGTAATACGAAATACGCTTCTAAATACGTTAATTAAGTACATTTGTGTTTATAAATATCATCAGAAATGTTTATTTGTCATCTTAACCTTGTCCTTTTAATAAAATATTCTACACCAAATGTGACTGGCCCATTGAAAGCTCGGGTGCGCCTTCGACTTCGGCGCAGTATTTATTGCCGCATTTCACAAGTACGCCGGCAGCGGTATCTAGTCGACCGCAGGGACACCAATCATTTATCTATGATTGAGCCCATACCATGAACCAATGTCAATGCCTATCTGTATACAATTTTTTAGACTAAACAGGTATTGTTGTTTCACTGTGTCTCTTGTGTAAGGTGAAGGTTACAGCGCCAGACGTACACTGTAACTTAAAAACTGTAATAGCTAGACAGTTGAAATCTTCTCAGAATGTTTTGTCATAATAACGACAAATATATATGTAAATCAAAATCAATAGTAAAAATATACCAACCGAATTGAGAACCTCCTTCCTAAAATAAATACAAATATTCTGTTAAAAATGAACTTAAAGTAAAAATATTCACTTGTAGTGAAATTAGAATATTGTATGTAGGCATGTGTTAAGATTTAAGAGACAAATTAATAAATTGAATTTATCATTATTAAAAACAATCCCCGACTAACCCCTGAAAATATTACCTTCTTCTGGACTGCGTGCAGGTCCGATTTGAACTTTGTTTTTCAAAGGTAACGTAACAAAATTTTGATCTCTCCTAAGCTGAAGATGCATAATTATGTTCATAACCTCGTCCTCGTACTTTACAACAACGTATTCGCACTTCTTGCACTACTACGTTGCTGCTACGAGGTTATTCCACATAATTGCTAATCGGACGTCACGGTAAGTTAGTCCTATCCCTATCTTTATAATTCACGGAGTTGTGCGGGAGCTAAACAAATATTCCGTCACAAGACGTCACCAATCAGTGCTTTTGTAGGGAAAAAAATAAAACAATTTTATGATAAGGAATGTATTTCTTATTCACAGTCAATGTTTAATAAAGTTCGCTTAATCATATGAGCTCACTTTTTATACATATACGTACTTCTTCAAGTTTACGAATATCCGAATTTATTAAGATAGGTCTTAGCACTAAGAGCCGAGCTACACACTAATTTTAGTAAACAGAAGATATTGCATTGGGACACTCTGCATGCTACGCGCCTAGATAGGTAATTTGCATGAAGCTTCTAGCTGGTCTCTTAGCTTGGCATCTATAATGTAGACATAGCCTTATATATTTACAACCTAAAGCTAAATTTGAAAGGGCTAGGAACTGCGAACAATACAAAGCTTGCTACTGTTGCTAATGCAATCTGTGGTTTCCATGGTTGGACCACGAGAAAACATAACATGCGCCACATGGAACTTTAATAATTTTCCTGCGTAGTTAATATAAATATATGGCACTGCTACCATACTTCCTATGGAAACTTTGCGGTATTCATACCTGTTACAATCTACATACCTACCTATTTTTTTATGTAATGGAAGGTGACTTCAGAATTATCCCTAAAGTATTTTTTTTTGACGACTTTGGATATTATAATACTGGGAGAAAAAAACAGCATTTGCTGAACTTCTTGTTGGTTCTTCTCAGTATCCTTGTACTAAACTACGGCGGGAGAAAGGTCTCTCAAGGTAGTTTTGCGAACCGATGGCGTAGCTTCTCGACTTTCACTAGTGCTTGTAAAAGCCTAGACTGAATAAATAATTTTTGATTTGATTTGATATATAATATAATATGTGTGACGCAACCTTTAATTGGGCTATTTAATAATTCATAAAACGGTTGTATGAGAGCATGCCCATTTGTTATTGCTTATAGTATTAAAATATATCGACAGGGGAAAAGCAAAATCGCATAAACGCCAATTTAGTAACTTTACAGAAACGGGGTTAGTTGAATTGATGTTGAAAAAACTTGATGTTTTTAATTTTCACAAAAAAAATCATGACTCGTTCTAAATGAACAGTAGCACCATTAAATAAAAATGTATTCATATAAAAATATTTATAACTAAATATTCACTTATTAAAAAGTTACATAGTGCCTTTACTTTACAAATTAGATGTCGCTTAAAGCGAAAATCAATCTGCCCGCCATGTAGTTTTTGTCAAGCTAACATCAAATCATACGCCAAGTAGTAAATAGGGCATAAGCGCCATTGATTCAAAAAACACCAAAATTTATGGCTTCAGCGTTGTGAATAATAAAAATCTCCAAAAATTTGCTTAAACGCCAAAAAAGTACTAAAATTTTAACGAAACATAAACAGATCGACGCAGAAAAAAATTGATTCAAATGATATATAATAAATATATAACACATTTTCGACCAAAGTAGCGTATAAGCTATTTTGCCTTTCCACTGTCGATATCAACTTAGATTGAAAATTACAATTTGAATGTAACTGAGGTAGTTACATTTCATTAAATTTAAGTAAATAAGTAACTCTTTTTTCGTTTCTTATTTCTGTTATCTCTGAGATAATGGTAAATTATGCGTAGATTCTGTCAATATAAGAATATTCATGGAATAACATTATCAGTCCTTCATATTTTCTATATATAGGGATTTTATTATAAATTAAGTGTTAACTTAAACTTTAACCTTATTTAAAATTCCTACATAGTATTAAACAACATTTACGTAGGTTTATGCTGACATTGTTTCAAATTTAAAATTATTTTATTGCATACACCTTAACTGTTATAGTCAACGTAATAGAATTATTAGATCGCTATATAAAATGCCAATAAGTACAATTTTTTCATTGCATCAATATTTGGTGGCTAGTTGTTGTTACACTTGTTATAATTTAATAAACTAAGAGAATAGACTAATAGTAAAATCTTTAAAAAAAAACTAATCACGGTGAAGAATTTCATCCTCAAGTTTTAGTTTAATACATTAGTATTAACTTATTTAAAGGGATGAACATTGTAATAATATAAAGTTAATATACTATCAGCAATATGATTTATGACCCACCATAATCTTATTTTCTTACTACCATCACAAAACATTAAGGTAGACTTTCGCTTGAATGTAGAATGCTTGGTACGTATCTCTGGAAACAAATAGATCGAAAGCCCACGACACTAAACCTAGTACGCTAAGACTCTCAGATTAAATATATATATATAGACACGTCATTAGAAATGAAGATGCTGCAATGCAAAAAACCTTGCAGCGCTTTTAACAAATAAAATTTAAAAACCAATAAAAATAGAGTTTCTAGTATGATAAGACTCCCAGGCTTCGTTTGTTCCTCGAAATAAGGGACGGGTAGGTCTACACGAAAATTATAGTTATTTCCAAATTCAAACTACAATTCGAATTCTTCTAAAAGATGATCTAAAACAAAGGTCAACTTTCTAATATCTTTTAACAACATTAATAAAGTTTCCTTGTTATTAGAAGGTCCTAAATGCATCTATGCATTCTATACAAAAGAAAACTTGTCAGTTTTGTCATTTTAATGCAAATTATCGGGCAAGTGGGTCAGGAATCAATTTATTCGGTATTAAAAGTGCAAATAATTATCTCTATTGCATACATTTTTCCCCAACGTCTGTCGGGGATTGTCATCAGTTTTGCGCTTAAGTTAAGTAAAAATATGGCAAGGTGTGGCAGGTGGTATACTGTTGAACTCTTCAGAGTGTTGTTTAGAACACGCAAGGCCGTGATCAGTTCTATTGTTATTGCCATTGGTCTTGTCAGTGCTGTGTTGCTTATTAATTTTCTTGCATGCGTCACAAATGAGGTACCTTGAATCCAGGCTACTCTTTGTATCTCGGTCACTTTGTTTTCTTTCGCTCAGATGATTTGAGTCACATTTCTTCATAGAATTATCTGAAGATGAATAAATGACATTATAAAACTTTGAATCGTCTCATGCCAATGGAGACTGTTCTATAGCCTTTATTATTGCTGCTATCCTTGCAGGGTAAATAAATACATGTGTGTATGGAAAATAACTAATAGATGTTTTTATTTGTTTCTGTTTAAGATGTTTAATTAGCTAAGTTAGTTACAATCATTGTCTATGGTTATAATTTATAGGTAGATTTAGTTTTTTTATGCGGAAAAGTGAAAAATATAGATATTAGACCCAGATATAATAACAATTCAAAAATGTCTAAATTAGTTACATTAAACTCTATAAGTAGCTATACCTTTTCCATTAGATGTTTGGCTCCGTGTCACAGCATTGTATAAGCATTGTCTAGTATCAGCTTCTTTGATAAACCCGCAGCAACACTGCTTGAAAGTATGCTGGAAAATATTATTTTTATTATGTATTTATATTATATCTTTACAGTTAATAAAACTATTAGCTAAATTTATATACATATATTCCAATTAAAGTAGACCAATGTCTATTGATCAGCTAATTGTTTATTTTCATTTACATACATTTATATATCGCAGCGCAACCTTTAAATTAAATATTTAGCTGATCGATAAGTATAATGATTTCATGTCCAAATAATAATTGTTAAAACGTGATTTTAGAAAACACAATATTGTAAAAGATGTACAAGCAAATTGTCATTACAAAAACTTTCCAGTACAAGGTCCCCCTTCCGTAATAAATTTACAAATCGGTTGCGTATCTTTTCGATTAATTAAGTAAATCTGTATTTGTACTCTTAAACTCGATAATCGATGTACTAAAGAATTACGAACCTCGTTATGTCCTGCATTTAATCTCGAAATTTTCAAGTCAATTTTAAGAGTACAAGCACAGAATAAAATTTTACAGAACATTAGGGTAACAACCTACAGTAAAACCGATTTATTAGTTTGATGACCGATTATCAACAGGGTCAGGGTCTACTTTGTATCGGAGAACTTTTAATGACATAATTATTATGCATATCAGCGGATATGGCATCAACTTCATTTCACAGAAAATCATTTGCCATGCACTTATTTAACAGACATCGAAACCCAACCATTTAATATTCACAAACATTACCAGCAGAACCATCATACCGCAGAAAGTTCACAGTCAGAATCGTCTTTTGGCTTAAAATTATTGAACTTTTCCTAATTTAGTTTATCTTTATATTAGGTGGTGGAGGTAGTGCGAATTTAAACTGCGTAAATTTAGCAAACGCATAATGGCGTAATAAAATTCTACCATCTTAATAGTATGCCACTGTGAATTTTGACATATTAACATTCGGCCAAACAACAATTATATTCACAAAAAATAGACGTTTAAAGAAGATTATTCCAAGTGTGTTTTGCCAAATGAATTTCGGAACAACAACATTCTGCCAGATAGAAGTAACCCTTATCAACGTTGCTCATATTATTTGAAAGTTAGCGCGATAAAAAAGATAATAAAAAATAATATATATACAAGTACCTATTCTAACAAATTCTATAATAAAGTAAAGAGAGTTTGAAATAGAATGCTTATTTATTTTATTATATATAAAAATATTTTTTTACCCGCCGTTAAGTTTTCGCTTAACAATAAATTCATAATAATCAAATGAAGTGCCAACCAATTTAAAATTTATAGATGTTGTTAACTCTGATGCACTTCAATCAATATAATGCGATTATATTTAATTTCAAATATCTATGAAACTAAGGAACTGCAATTATTTCAACGACAGTTTAAAAAAAACTGACATGAAAGAAATTATAAATAATATGACACATCTAATACAACAATTCACCTCAATAACAAATCTCCTGCTGGAAATCATGCACAAACTGACACGTTCTATTCACTAAAAATAGCCCTACGACATGCCAATGGCCCACACCATGTCCTAGAAGTTGAGTTATTATTTAAAACAAACAAAATAGACATCTTACTGGTTGTCATGGAAACACATTTTACAACGAAGAACTACCTCAGAATCTCCAATTACAAATTCTATCAAACTATGCATATCCTGATGGTACACGGAGTACATAGCTCCCGCAGGATCCGCAATTCTCATTAAGAATAACATCAAATATTATGAGGTCGAGCAGTACAAAACTTCGAAAAATTGCTATCGAGGAGTGTCGGATGGGACACCTTACTGTTACTGCACTGTTTTCTCCCCCAAAATAGTGCTGGGTATAGTGATATTAAAAAAGAAATTATCAGTATTGAATGGAGTAAGATATTGTCTGAGATAGATTTAGAAAGTGCTGCGAATATTTTTTATGAAAAAATTAATGAAATTATTAAAAAAAATGTCCCACTGAGACCTGTGAAATCTAAAGAATATCCCCCTTGGTTCACACACCTAATACACATCTTTAAAAATAAAGAAAAAGCATGGATTAAGTGGAAAAAATACGGGAATATATCTGATTACGAAGTATTCTCAATATATCGTAAGCGATTTAAAAAAAAATGTGGCAGATGTTATTCTTCTTATATAAACTTGATCGAAGTGGGTATAAGGAAGGATTTAAAGTTGTTTTGGTCTTATGTTAATAGTCGTAAGCAAAAAGTCGGTTTCCCGAACTGCATGGTGTGTAATAAAAGAGAATCAAACGTGCCACAAGAAATCTGCAACATGTTTTCAAGCTTTTTTGGGTCGGTATATGAGAGAGGCAGCTCGATTGATGTGATTGGCGATAATATTTTACCATCAGATAATAGTACTATTTTAAGTGAAATTTCGTTCTCTCAGGAGACTATCACTAAAGCCGTAAAAGAACTGGATATCACAAAGGGGACTGGACCTGACGGCTTACCACCTTTTTTCCTTAAGCAAATTGCGGACGTTATAAGTATACCTCTTTATTATATTTTTAACCGTAGTTTAAGAGAGGGTTATCTGCCTTCTATTTGGAAAACTGCCAACATTGTCCCAGTATTCAAAAATGGCTCTAGGTCGGATGTTTCCAACTATCGTCCGATATCTATTTTGTCCACTTTGTCAAAAGTACTGGAACGATTAGTTCATGATGCAGTATATCCCAGTTTACATAATATCATAATCCCAGAACAGCATGGTTTTGTAAAAAAACGCTCTACTGTTACTAATCTAGTTTTATATGCAAACACTCTTTTCGAAACTATTGATAATAGACTTGAAATTGATTCAATATACACAGATTTTTATAAAGCTTTTGACAAAGTGGACCATAAGATTCTCCTTCAAAAGCTGGCATATAATGGTATTCGAGGAAACCTGCTTCGTTGGTTTTCCTCTTATATCATAAATAGGAGTCAGAGAGTAGTGGCAAATGGCTTCACCTCTGGAGCAATATGTGCGACCTCCGGCGTGGCGCAGGGTTCTATTTTAGGTCCTCTCTTATTTGTTATTTTTATCAACGACATTAATAGCTGTTTTAGGAATTTTAACTTTTTAATGTACGCGGATGATTTAAAAATATATCGAGCCATTAGAACCAGGGAAGATTGTATTTTGTTACAGGAGGATCTAGACCGTTTTGCTTCCTACTGTACTGAAAATAATTTAAAGTTAAACTTGTCAAAATGCAAATCTATCACATTTACTAAAAAGAAACATGTTGTTGACTTTGATTACAACCTCTGTGGTACCGATCTTGAGAAGGTCTCGACTATAAAAGACTTAGGTATGTTCCTCGATCATAAACTACATTTAGATATTCATATTAATTATATTGTTAACAAAGCGTTTCAACTTTTTGGCTTCGTTCTGCGTACTTCTAAGGCCTTTGAACTGTGCGATTCTTACTTGTTGTTATTTAAATCACTTATTAGACCGCAACTGGAATATGCCTCTCAAATATGGAATCCATTCTATCAAAAATACAGTGATCAACTTGAAACTGTTCAAAAAAAATACATACGTACTGTTAATTATAGATGTCTCCATGCTAGGTCTTCGTATAGTGAACTGCTGAGTAAGTTCTCCTTACCTTGCTTAAGTTCTAGGCGTTCTTTACTTGATTGTCTTTTCCTATTCAAAATCTGTCGTACTTATTTTGACTGCAATGACCTCATAAAACAGATTTATATTCGAATTCCCAGTAGTTCAAAGCGTATAAGAAATACCTATGCTCATAAACTATTTTCCCCCAAACAGTGCAGAACGAATGCAGGTGAACGCGCACCCCTACGTCGAATGATGAACTTTTTAATGACAACCTATCTGATTTCGATTTGGACTTGTTTACAATGTCTTTTATTCAATATAAAAAGGCCATTACTGATTGTTTACCAAACATTTAAAAATTGGGTTTTGTAACTTTTTTTTTGGTTTGGATTTGCAAGTAGAATAGATATTGCAAACTTATCATGTTTTATAAAAATATGATCTCTGTGTTATGATATATTTTTAGTGGATAACGGTGTTGGTTGTGTAATGACATCAATGTATTTATTAGTGTTACTACATTACGTACAATATTGCACAGTTGTTTGTTATCCTAAATAAATAAAAATAAAAAATAAAAATATAAGATCAAAAATAAAGATTATATCAAAATCTTCAAAAAACTGAGATGCAGATTCATATCAGGTGCATATTATAATTCAAAAAATATACATTGGGGCTCCCGATTAACAACACCTAAAGGACGACAATTACAAGCAGCTTTCGATCAACGACTAGATACGATATCTAATGGAGAACCTACGTATTGGCCGACGGACACAAAGAAAGTCCCTGATTTGGTAGACTACAGTGTTGTAAAGGGTAGCCTAACTAATTGTTTTTAATTAAATTTCACAATCTGCTTTTATCTTACTTTAGATGCCATGTTTCTAATGAGAAGTAGATGTTGCTATATCTATGATATCTATCGCTATGCTCAGCGATTAGTTAATCTAACCGCATAGCGCAAGGCACTGGTTCGAATCTTGCTTTACACCTAGATCAAGGGATTTTTTTTTATAAAATACTAAATAAAACTAGTTTTTACGGGTTAATGCACGAAACTTTATTTATTTATTGACGTTTCGTAGCCTTTACAGGCTACGTCGTCAGAATCAAACTTTTATTTAATTTGTCGAGCTACCTTCGAAAAAACATTACCTACCTTCTTTTTTCGTGAAAACCTAAAAGAAAAAACTAGCAAGAAAAAAAAGAAACAAATATATAAAATATACTATTTAGATTTATCTACCAACAGTTTAATGAATATAATATAATATATTAAAAAAGTATTTGCAAGTAATTAATTTATTGGAAATGTTGGAATTGGACCCGATGAAGATTGCTTATTTTACGACGGCGTGATGTGATGTTACTTCTTATTATCAGTTTGAGAAAAACATACTTTTATGATTCAGAACGTACTTGAAAATACAAATTTAAACTTGAATGATGTACCAAATACAAAATGACATAGCTAGGCCTCTAGCTAAGCTGCTAGCTAGGCAACTAGCTAGTCAACCAGCTAGGCTACTAGCTAAGCAACAAGCTAGGCTGCCAGCTAGGCAACTAGCTAGGCTGCTAGCTGGGCAACTAGCTGTTTGGTGCAAACAGTCCCATCATTATGGACTGGGAGTGGACCAGGAGTGTGTGCGATGGACCGGGAGCGCACGCGCTGGGACCATTCCCCACTGGGCCAATTCCACACTAGCTAGGCATCTAGCTAAGCTGGCTAACTAGGCAACTAACTAGCTAGTTAGCTAAGCAGCTAGGCTACTAGATATGCAACAAGCTAGGCTGCTAGCTAGGCACCAAGTTAATCTACACTTGCTAGTCACCTAACTACTAGCTAGGCTGCTAGCTAAGCAACGAGCTAGGCCTCTAGCTAAGCTTCTAGCTAGGCTGCTAGCTAAGCAACTAGCTAGGCCTCTAGCTAAGCTGCTAGCTAGCCTGCTAGCTAAGCAACAAGCTAGGCTGCTAGCTAGGCACCAAGTTAATCTACACTTGCTAGGCAACTAGCTAGTCAACCAGCTAATCTGCTAGCTAAGCAATTAGCTAGGCTGCTAGCTAAGCAACAAGCTAGGCTGCTAGCTAGGCACCTAGCTAAGCAACAAGCTAGCCTGCTAGCTAGGCACCTAACTAAGCTGCTAGCTAGGCTGCTAGCTAGGCTGCTAGCTAGGCTGTTAGCTAGGCTGCTAGCTAGGCTGGTAGCTAGGTGGCTAGCTAAGCTGCTAGCTAGGCTTGTCAGCCAGCTAGGCTGCTAGCTAAGCAACAAGCTAGGCCTCTAGCTAAGCTGCTAGCTAGGCTGCTAGCTAAGCAACTAGCTAGGCCTCTAGCTAAGCTGCTAGCTAGGCTGCTAGCTAGGCGCCAAGTTAATCTACACTTGCTGGGCACCTAACTAAGCTGCTAGCTAGGCTGCTAGCTAAGCAGCAAGCTAGGCTGCTAGCTAGGCACCTAACTAGGCTGCTAGCTAAGCAACAAGCTAGGCCTCTACCTAAGCTACTAGCCAGGCTGCTAGCTAAGCAACTAGCTAAGCAACAAGCTAGGCTGCCAGCTGGGCAACTAGTTGTTTGGTGCAAACAGTCCCATCATTATGGACTGGGACCAGGAGTGTGTGCGATGGACCGGGAGCGCACGCGCTCGGACCATTCCCCACTGGCCCAATTCCACACTAGCTAGGCCTCTAGCTAAGCTGGCTAACTAGGCAACTAACTAGCTAGTTAGCTAAGCAGCTAGGCTACTAGATATGCAACAAGCTAGGCTGCTAGCTAGGCACCAAGTTAATCTACACTTGCTAGTCACCTAACTACTAGCTAGGCTGCTAGCTAAGCAACGAGCTAGGCCTCTAGCTAAGCTTCTAGCTAGGCTGCTAGCTAAGCAACTAGCTAGGCCTCTAGCTAAGCTGCTAGCTAGCCTGCTAGCTAAGCAACAAGCTAGGCTGCTAGCTAGGCACCAAGTTAATCTACACTTGCTAGGCAACTAGCTAGTCAACCAGCTAATCTGCTAGCTAAGCAATTAGCTAGGCTGCTAGCTAAGCAACAAGCTAGGCTGCTAGCTAGGCACCTAGCTAAGCAACAAGCTAGCCTGCTAGCTAGGCACCTAACTAAGCTGCTAGCTAGGCTGCTAGCTAGGCTGTTAGCTAGGCTGCTAGCTAGGCTGGTAGCTAGGTGGCTAGCTAAGCTGCTAGCTAGGCTTGTCAGCCAGCTAGGCTGCTAGCTAAGCAACAAGCTAGGCCTCTAGCTAAGCTGCTAGCTAGGCTGCTAGCTAAGCAACTAGCTAGGCCTCTAGCTAAGCTGCTAGCTAGGCTGCTAGCTAGGCGCCAAGTTAATCTACACTTGCTGGGCACCTAACTAAGCTGCTAGCTAGGCTGCTAGCTAAGCAGCAAGCTAGGCTGCTAGCTAGGCACCTAACTAGGCTGCTAGCTAAGCAACAAGCTAGGCCTCTACCTAAGCTACTAGCCAGGCTGCTAGCTAAGCAACTAGCTAAGCAACAAGCTAGGCTGCCAGCTGGGCAACTAGTTGTTTGGTGCAAACAGTCCCATCATTATGGACTGGGACCAGGAGTGTGTGCGATGGACCGGGAGCGCACGCGCTCGGACCATTCCCCACTGGCCCAATTCCACACTAGCTAGGCCTCTAGCTAAGCTGGCTAGCTAGGCAACTAACTAGCTAGTTAGCTAACCAACTAGGCTACTAGATATGCAACAAGCTAGGCTGCTAGCTAGGCACCAAGTTAATCTACACTTGCTAGGCACCTAACTACTAGCTAGGCTGCTCGCTAGGCAGCTAGCTAGGCTGCTAGCTAGCATAAAATGCCTGCCAGAAGTTTTTTCTGGAATAAGCAACTAGTGACCTAACACCGGGCTCCGCGGGGTTCTTCTTCACCACGACAACGTGCCCGAGCACTTTGCGATCAAAACGAAGGACTTTCTGGACACCACACCCATCAGAAAAAAAAAAATCAAAAATTCAATATCGTTTATTCAGTCTAGGCTGTTACAAGCACTTGTGAATATTGAAAAGCTACGCCATCGGTTCGCAAATCTACGGCGGGAGACCTTGCACTGAGAAGAACCGGCAAGAAACTCAGCAAGGGCTGCTTTTTTCTCCCTGTTTTATTTAGTAGAGTCTTGGGACACTCTCCTTACAGTCCTGATTTGGCTCCGTGTGACTTCTTTTTATGCCCTAAAATTATAAAATCACCTCAAAGGGATACAGTTTTCAATGCCGGAAGAAGCACTAGCAGCGTTTGAGAAGGCCGTGAAGGAGGTGTCAAGTCTATTACTGCGTAGGACTGGAAAATTGGTTCAGACGAAAAGATTCATAATTTTTTTTTTAGGTTTTTTATTTTCTCAGAACTTTCTGAGTGTCCCACGTATTTATCGTTTTCTGATGATACTTAATTTATGACATGAAAGAAATTATAAATAATTAGACACATTCTTTTTTTTATATTGATTAGGTCAACATGCTGCTCACTTTTACTTACCTGTGAAGTTGTCATAAAGTTAATATCTATTGTTATTTCAATTTTATTGTTATGGTTCAAATAATCATGTATAAATAATTTTAAATAAAAAATAAAACCGACTTAAAAAAACTGGAAATATAAAACTAAGATTTACCGACTGATATATTTGAAGTCGATACCTTTATCATGATCTCCCCGCTAAACATATGGCTTGGTATCGATTTCAAATATATCAGTCATACATACAAATATCCTTTTATTTTGAAGTCTGCTAAAAACATTTTACGTCTCTGCATGATATTTAGTTTAATGTGACAACTGATATTAAGCAATCACACCATTAGATATTGTCGCCTCAATGTTCTGACGCTGTACCAATTTGTGTTAATCTTCTAATACTTATGTCTGCATTATGTGATTAAAAGTAACATGCGCAACTCACGTTTCACGCTATATAGCTGAGCTTCAAAGGTTATAAGGATACCACGTGAGTATGTACACATATTTTTCCATATTAAATATATTTCTCAGAGACATACCTAAGCCTAAGGCCATACTACAAGCAACCTCGCTCGGTGCTAAGAGGCAAACGACGCGCTTGGCTAGGTGACTTGCACAGTTTCTAGTTTTTCGCTAAACTTAGCACTACAATTGTCTTTTTGTGCCGTGGCCTTAGTCTTACGTCATATTTAGAGCATCATTCATTAGTTGCAACCTTAGAATATTATCTACAAACACTCACTTTGAACGCCTCTCTAAATTTGTTGGACATTATCTGATATAGAATTGGATTGATACACGAAGATAGGTAGTAAAATACCCCCGAGATGTAGGTGAGGAAGTTATAGATTTTGGCCATTATTGGCTGGCGTGCTTGGTGCATCGCCGTGGTTCCATATATAGCCACCAGGCGCTGTGCATGGAACGGCGCCCAGCAAACGAAGAATGCTACTACTACAGCCACTGTTGATATAAAACACAAAATGTACGTGAAAAAATGCAAAAATTCTATTATATCAGATAAGTATATACAGAAAGTAACTTATATTTAAATTCCACTACCTAAGAAAAGACACACTACACAGAAAGTAACTTATATTTAAATTCCACAACCATAGTTATTATTAGGTTCAACTTAAAAAGTTTTATCTTTGTTCATTGGGAATCGAATGTAGCTGCATAAGTATAAACATACGCGGACAGTTTTTAGCTTCGATTTTGTTTGCAACCTGTTATCTATAGAGTTTTTGATCGAAGATTTAAACGGACCAATTGATTTATGGGCTCTGAATGAATGCAGTCTGTTATAAGTGAACACGCACATGTACTAGTCCTAATTGCTTATAGATATTGTAAATGTATGTTATCCATACGTACCCAACATTTTCACTACTCTTCTAGTAGATTTATTAGGTCTTTTGCGTATTTTATTCGAATGTGGGCAACATAACCCTTTCTCAAACAACTCCGGGTCTTGAACTTCCTTATTTATTCTTGTTTGCTTTAATTTTACTCCGATTAGCGCATAAAGGACAGTTATCAGTATCATTGGAGTAAAGAAAAAAAGGAATGTTGATATCTCAAATGAGTGTTGTATAATCACTCGTGTTTGTAGACACATTGTTACACCACTGAAGTTTCCAATGCCGAATTGTAATGCTTGTGGTAGTGCCAGTGCTAAAGAAATCACCCATAGAATAAATACGTGTTTTGTGGCTCTCGACAGCTTCGACATTTTATGGGACACAAAGGGATGACATATTGCCAAATATCTCTCCACGGTGAACAGTGTTATGGTCAACACGCTAGCGTTCGTTGACGTTTCTGATGCCAAGCCCCGGAGGAGGCAAAATGCTGGTCCGAAAACGTACGGCCATTTCGACCAAATAGAATATATTTCTTGCGGCATTCCGCTCACTAATAAGAGTAAATCTGATATTGCTAGGCTAAATAAGTAATAATTTGTCGCTGTCTGCATACTTTTATTGCGTATAATGACTAGACATGTCAGCATGTTGCCAATTAATCCTGTGACGAATATCACAGAATAAATTATAGTAATGGGTAAGACGATATAGAGGGGATCTCTATGTGGTCCAAAAATTCGTGTCGGGTCAGCTGTCGTCGACACATTTTGAGTAATATTACTCATGTCACTCATTTTGAAGTTACAAGTTTACAATTTGGTAGGGAATACTTATTGCTTTACACGGCTTCCTTTAAACTCCATTTCAAAAACCTGTAAACAAAAGAAAAATACTATATTATTGCTAAACAACCTGTAGTCAAGATTTTTAATATAGGTAATCAAATAACTTGGAAACTTCGATCATTAACACATACACTTTTTTGCTATGAACTGTAGCAGATAGAGTAAAAGAAGAGTAAGTAAAGAAAAATGTACGTTTTTATTAAAGTATAAATCATTATTATTTCATTTCCATCGAACAAATGTGCAAAGTAAACATAGACGACCAATAAACAAGGAAATATTTAAATCTAATGAAAAGTTTACTAGAAAAATCCACGCGGACCAGGCAGCAGACGGGACTCGAACCCGCACCCTTCGCTATCCGGGCGAATGCACTGACCATTATGCTACCGCGGCCCTGACGGCCATGTCGAATTTTCTCTAGCCTTAAGCTGCAAGGCAGCGCCATATCTTCGCATTGTAGGTAACCCACAAAGAACACAACTAAGGAAATATTTATTTAAATAAGTTAGACTAGCGAACCCGACATACGTTGTCCTGTCCGACTGCGAGTCAGACTCGGGTTCCGTACAAATTTGTAGGTACGCAACATAAACGGGCGAAAAAAAACCCAAAGCCATTTTTCTAGTCCCTATTATTTCCCTAGTCATTAGTTTTAAGTAGTCTTATAACTACTTAGTTGTAAGTAGTCCAAGTCATGATATTAAAATATGTTTAGTAGCTATCTCTTGGGTCCAGAAGACCATATGTAGGAAATTGGAATATACGCATGGTACGGCGCAAAGGAAACAATATACGAAGTAATAATTAAAAAGTAGCAACCTTACGGAGGAGGACAACAAAAGTGGAGAAAAGTAAATGACTGGTTTTCGATTCCCTTAAAAAACATAAGCGGCTGTATCTTTTTTTTTGATTCTCTCACAACTTCAAGGGATCGTAGACCTGAGTATATGTTTTAAATTTCCACTCGATACCTTCACGCGTTTCCAAGATAAAGGGACTTGACAAATAGCCGTAACTTTTTTTCGCATACTAAGAAGTTTGATTTATCACAACTTTAAGGAACCGTAGACATCTGAGTATATGGTTTAAATTTCAACTGAATATCTTCACGTATCGTCGGATAACGGTCCCGTATTTTTCTTTTGAGATACGGAACCCTAAAAAGTTTAAAAACCCTACTGCAGCGTTCCCCAGAGGGTAGAGTTGTAAGTTGAGTTTTTTTAAACTTACTAGTTTTCCGTGTAACATCTTATTTTTTTCCGTAAGAACCTTCTACAAATAAGAAAACTTGAAATAAAGAGATGGTTAATTCGGTAAAGTCTTTCTCAAGTTTTTGCGTAACCAAGGGAAATAGTTGTGAAATGGGACCATTATAATATACATAGAAGACGAAAAAACCTCGTGACACCATGTTTGTTATCGAACTCCTCCAAAAGGGCTGCACCAATTTTTATGAAATCTTTTGTGTAAATTTGGTAGGTCTGAGATTAGTTCGTGGGATATTTTTATACCCTGAGGTTATAAGGGTGGCCATTTTTTTTACTTGTGGACATTTTTTTTTATGATTTCGTCATAGGCCTAGTAGAATAAATAAGATGAATATCCATTTTGCAGCTTTTAGGCGTTTTCATGGAAAGCGAAATTAATTCGTTCTTCTAATATTATTCTTACATATTTAGTTACACATATTTTATAATTAAAATAAAATGTCAGAAGAAATAATTAATTTACCTTATAATTATAAAAAAATATTTTAAGTGTTGCTAAAGAAGTTGTGTCCATAAGAAGGGTAACAGTACTGTAAAAGATTACATAAATGACAAATCACCTCGAGCTTAATTTTAGTAAAAAGCATTGTTATTGCTATTTTGGTTGAATTAAATTTGATTTTTTAAATAAAAAAAAATGTACTTACATACATCTAATTGTTAATATTATGATGTATCTTACATGTTATCAAATTTTAATGTCATCTTTCAATAGACGACACTTTGGAATTAAATTTGAGGAACCGATGGCATAAAGTTTAACATTCAAGAGCTTATAACAAAATACACGTAATTTGAGTTTGATTGTAAAGTATGACGTCGCCTGGAGTCTGAGACCGGTCTTCCTGATTAAACAAAAAATGACTAGGTATATTTCAAATATGGTCTCTTGACAAAGTGTACGTTTGTTTGTTACCTAATGCAAGTAAGAGGAAGAGTTTATTATGATAATATTCCTATCAATATTCTGCATCAATCAGGAAAATGGAATTGCATGTGCGAAGAGGGCGAATATGTGAATAAAATGATACATTATGTATGGAAATTTGGTAATATTTTCTTGGCAATATGATCTACTCGGTCGTTCTGTGAATATAAAAATAAAAACAATAAGCGCACTATCTGCTAAGTAGTTTTAGGGTCAAACTGTTTAAAACCTTTTTTAGAAAGAAAGAATTGATGCAAATCACCAACGAAATAGATGTATAGATCAATGTAATTTGGAAGTATCAGATGACATTTTATTTTAGCTGTTGGTCGTTGGTGAACTGTGTTGGGATTGGAACGACGGCGAGATCCTTTATGAACTTCAAGCCAGGAAATGGCCAATGGTCTATTTTAAAACATAAAAGAGACTATGCCAATGCAATACGGTCAATTACTATGATTTTACAGAGCGAGTAGCTTGGCTATTAGTACCAAGTGAGGCTCCTTGTAGTGACCTTTGCTTTAAAGGAAAGTTTTAAATATGTTCCTAGTATATGTGCTGTGCATCCAATATTTCCCAAATTGCACTTTTTTCAACATTGTCTGAATAGTTGTAACAAATGATTTAGTAAATTTTATTGAATTTAAAAAACATTGTCGCAACCAACTCACTAAAATAAATAAAATCCCATCAAAAAGATGTTAATGTAAAGTGTTGCCACGACGAGACCATATGTCAGAAAGTAATTGGATCTCATGTAAATCCAAGTTTTTAACTCTACACGCTCTAACTCTATAAGGCCCAACTTCACCAACTCTACATTTTAGTCAAAATATGTAAGTAGTTTGTAACTCTTACCCTTTTTCAATTATTGTTGTTTATTTGAACATGTTTGTAGATTTTCCTTTATAAAACTTTAAACAATTTGTCATTAAATTCCCTACAACTTTGGTATAACAACAATTTTTTTAATTAAATTAATACTTTTAAAGTTATGAGTCGTTAATGTGGCGTAAAAACGGGCATCGTTGCATTGCATCCAAATGGAAGCTGCCCAATGATGATTGGATTTTGTTGTCCGATTGTTATCGATTAATTGCAAAAAAAAGTAATTTAATTATACAATAACGTTTCTATGGGGTACTATGAAATGTTTATTTTATCTATAAAGTAATCCGAGCAAAAAAATAAGGTTGGTAAACATATTTATTTATAAAAAACTGTTGACAGCTTTCTAGCACAATGTTCAAGAAGGAAGGTCCCTGCTTGATGTCGCTGGTAATTGGTGGAGCAGGACATAGACAAATGATTGGTCTCGCTCGCTACAGCGACCAATCATTGATCTATGGAGCAGGAATATGCTCGACGCGATGGTGCCGAGCTGAGCCTTTTACTAAGTTCACAAGAGGGCCAAGATTCATCCTGCGGGCCCAGTGCGGTTTGGTGGGTGCGAAAAAACGAAAGTGAAACAAAAGATTGCAAATTTAGTCGGGACCGAGGCTTTCCATTCCTTCCAAAGCACGAAAGAGCACGATATATTTTAGAAGTGAAGCTGCCTAAGGCACGCTCAAATTGGGGGGTAAACTGGCGAATGCGATACGAGTTACGATTAGTGTCACCGGTCATCGGTAAACAATGAACAATACCCGAAACAAAATACATGAATCTAATGCTAACTTACATGTGAGTGATAACGGACCCAGTGGGGATTGGGGGGTGATAACGGACCCAGCGCGGATTGGGGGGTGATTATGGACTCAGCGCGGATTGGTGGGAGTCAATGGACCCAATACGGATTGGTGTGTGATAATGGACCCAGCGCGGATTGGTGGCAGATAATGGACCCAGTGCGGATTGGTGGAAGATAACGGTCCGAGTGCGGATTGGTGGGTGATAATGGACCCAGTGCGGATTGTTGGTTGATAACGGTCCCAGTGCGGATTGTTGGTTGATAACGGACCCAGTGCGGATTGGTGGGCGATAACGGACCCAGTGCGGATTGGTTTGTGATAACGGACCCAGCGCGGATTGGTGGGTGACAATGGACCCAGTGCTGATTAGTGAGTGATTATGGACTCAGCGCGGATTGGTGGGAGTCAATGGACCCAATACGGATTGGTGTGTGATAACGGATCCAGCGCGGATTGGTGGGTGATAATGGACCCAGTGCGGTTTGGTGGGTGATAACGGACCCAGTGCGGATTGGAGGGTGATAACGGACCCAGCGCTGATTGGTGGGTGACAATGGACCCAGTGCGGATTTGTGGGTGATAATGGACCCAGTGCGGATTGGTGGGTGATAACAGTCCCAGTGCGGATAGGTGGATGATAACGGACCCAGTGCGGATTGGAGGGTAATAATGTACCCAGTGCGGATTGGTGGATGATAACGGACCCAGCGTGGATTGGTGGATGATAACGGACCCAGCACGGATTGGTGGGTGATGACGGACCCACTGCGGATTGGTGGGTGATATCGGACGGAGCGCGGATTGGTAGGTGATAACGGACCCAGTGCCAATTTGTGGATCATAACGGACCCAGTGCGGATTGGTGGGTGATAATGGACCCAGCGCGGATTGGTGGGTGACAGTGGACCCAGTGCGGATTGGAGGGTGATAACGGACCCAGCGCAGATGGGTGGGTGATAACGGACCGAGTGCGGATTGGAGGGTGATAACGGATCCAGCGCGGATTGGTATTTTTTTTTCTATTACTAAATCTCCAGGTTAAGTTTATGATTTTCAGATTATTGGAGCTAAAGAAGTTTCACTTCAGTCGTATGGTCATAAGCACACTCGCTTTTTTTTTCAATATTTAGGCTGACT